GGGCAGAATGGGAGGGAGGGAGGGAGGGAGGGAGGGAGGGAGAGGGAAAGAGGGAGAGGGAGAGGGAAAGAGGGAGAGGGAAAGAGGGAGAGGGAGAGGGGAGAGAGGGAGAGAGGTAGAGGGAGAAGAGGAGGGGGAGGGGGAGGGGGAGAGGGAGAGGGAGAGGGAGAGGGAAAGTGAGAGAGAGAGAAAGACAGAGATACATTATAAAAATTACCCCTAGTACTGCAATAAACCAACAAAAGAGAGTGAAAAAGTCAACGCTATCTCACATGCCCCTTGCCTGTTCAGAAATTAAACCAGGCCGAAGTGTTCTACAGGTAATTCGCGCCTGTCTGTGACCTAAGCTCTCAAATCTATTTCAACCTCCAACAGATTAAAGCCACACAACAGCTTCTCAACAAACCTTTTTCACGGTGTCTGTGGGCTCTTCGGGTTCCGCAAGCAGGGTCCATTTCTTCCAGATGTCATCGCAGAGCGCCTCGATTCCAGTATCCTAGAAAAGAGTAAACGGATGATATTAAGGCGATTTCAAGAACTGGAGAAATGTATGTGATTCTTAGTATACTGTTCATTGTTTTCTGCTGGAACTTACTGCTGTAATTCAATCATGCTTTAATAAACCATTATTTTTGGCAATTTTATAGACCAAAAAAAAATGGTTATGATAGTCACCTGAAAGTTTGAGTCTACTTGTTGAAGGATATAATTTTTTTCATCTTTCATCAATATCTACAAGTACTCAAAATAACTAAATCTTTCTAGTAATATTTTATATATATACATATATATAATTTATTTTAAATTAGAATAACTAAGAATAACCATTAAAATATATATAATAAATATTCCGTGGATTTGATCAGTGCCAATTTCAAATAAATCCTTTGTCCATCAATTGAGTTAATATGTTCATTTCAATCTCATGATATAATTTAGGTAGCTGTTTGTAAAATGACAATGAACTGTAAAATAATACAAATGAAATTGTTTCATCATTGGGAATATAAGCAGACTCATTTTATATAATTTTACTTGCAAACTTTGAAGTATGAACAGAGGTATCAAATATTTTAAACATTAAGTATAGATATATATGGCCTGGTTAACTCTTTGCAAAAATATGTTCACAATCAATACCTCCCAGTTAGCATATATAGCTTTAAATTTCAAGTTACAACAACTAAATAAAAATATTGCTGACATGTTAACAAATTTACCATTAGCACTAGCATGGGTAACCATCATAAAGATAATGAAAACAATTCAGAACAGGTTGCCTAAACTAAAACTCAGAAACACAACAAGCAAATGGCATTGAACTGACATAACATCCAATCCTTAATAGTATGTTATTCTGCAGCATATTGATAATAAGTACTCAGGTGTACAGAATCTTAGCTAAAAAGTTAATCACAACAATAGTTTGGAAAAAACACTTGCAATGAGAGTTTCCAGCCAAGTTTCTTAGTTTAAATGGCATCCAATATGTTTCAAAAGAAATAAGCCTCTGAATTATGCTCCTCTGGGTGAAAACTTTACAGAAAAGGCCGAGAATATATGCTCAATGATAATCATTAGGCTTTATACTAACTCTATGAATTTCAATCTTCTTTACTTCTGTTTTCTGCAAAAGCAAAAAATAGCATGACTCCTATGGTGTAGTTCATAACATACATACAAGATTATCTAACATTATTAAAAACAAAATCATAAATTATTTATAAATATTATTTATAAATCTGATACTATTCCCCATAACTCAAAACCCAGCTAATGAATGAGATTAGTACCCAACATCACAGAGGTGTAAAAGGTGTAGCCTTGAAAAGGCAAAGTAGGTTATAAATGTCCCTTAAACAAGACCAGGTCACATTTTTATATGTAATATATATGTAATACATACATACATATTATATATATATATATATATATATATATATATATATATATATATATATATATATATATATATATATATATATATATATATATATATATATATATATATATATATATATATAAATTTAAATCACCCTCAACATCATTATTATCTTCCTTACTTTCACTATCATCAAATACTTAACTATCAACGATAAGTGTCAAAACTTTTTACATAAAAAATGGCAACACCAAAAATTCTGATGAGGATGGATGATTATTTAATAAGTTTTTCTTTCTTCCATGCAATTGTAAGGTAAAATAAATAAATATATATCATAAACAAAGTACATATTGTAACCCATTTAGACAAGCAGTCATGTTCTGCCTCTCTATGCAGATGAGCTGCCTCCAGTTTTCTGCTAAACCGACATACATACTAGAATTTTTGGTGCTGTATGCTTTTGTGTGAATTGCCTTTACATTTTGCCATACAGTGATCTTAGGCCTCAGCTGTGAGATTCCTCTTACGGAATATGCTAATCCAATGTTAGCAAATCTAGGTCCTGGGAAAAACATGGACTCCATACAGTTTGGGATAAAATCTTACCCTAAACAATTATTGCAGACAGAATGTACAAAGACTTTGCACACAGCCTAGTCACAATGGAACTGATCTTCAACTAACTTCTCTTCTATCCAGTGTCTATGGTTACTACTTATCTATAACAATTCTAAGTGGCTCTTTCGGACCCAATTATTGTGTTTATCCTCAAATTACATTGTATTACATCTCTAACTGGCTCTTGTTATTTCCTGTACAAATGTCTTCATATCTGGTGCAATAACAGTATGTTCTATACATAGGACATGTTTATTTATGCCATCAGAAAACTGAGATTTCAAAACATTACTCGCTTCACTTAAAAATTCTTCTATTGAATGTGAAATAAGAAATCAGCAGTGCACTCTTAGGAGGAAGGTAATGACTTTGGATTCTGGCACCATATGGCTCTTCCTGTGCCTAGTGCCTAAAACTTTGCACCTATTTGATAATATGGCAATACCAATATCATAGTACTTAGTGACAGCTCAGCTCAGGCTCCTTTGGCTTGTGGGGACAGGGGAATGGGGGGGGGATGTCCTTACCAGCCACTCCCAATTTTTTACATTCCTAGTTTTGTCTGATGAGTGTTTTTTGCAAACCAAAATCATCATACACAGGAAAAGGCTTAGCAAGCACTTGGAGAACATTAAGAAGGTGAAAGAGCTGACGTGAGAAGAAGACAAACGTCCAGCCCCTGACAAAAGGCACCACCACCCCACCAGCTACCATCTTCTTCCCTCCTCTCCTTAGTTCTACAGCCTCTCTTCTCCAAGGCTGATCATCCCTTTTGATTACTACTTGGAGCTAATAATGAAAACAAGTAGCACTGATGCATACTAAGCAAGAACTAGCTGATTTCTGTTTAAAATATTCTTAGACATTTCAATACTGATCAGACCTACTGGGGAATGACAGTGCTTTTTATATGGAAACTTATTATTGTAAACAGGAAATTTCATAATCTGTAAAAAATATTTATGTGTAAGGAGAGTTGCAAAACAGCACATACTTCTGGGAGTTATAAGTTCACATCCGTTCATTAGATTGTGACATTTCATGACATATGGGAATATAAATCTAAAGGTAAGTAAAGTGTATATCACAAAATTACTCACAGCTCACAAAGAAATTGCTGATTATTAAAGTTGCTACTGAGTATTTAGCCCAATGATGTCGGGTGTACAAAACAAACAAACAAACAAACAAACAAACAAACAAACAAACAAACAAACAAAAAAAAAAAAAAAAAAAAAAAAAAAAAAAAAAAATCTACGCTCTAGCAAACAAAGGCGGCGTACAGACTTTGAGCGCGTGAGTAGGGGACATCAGCCCGAATCACTGGCTCGCCGCGCTTTGGCACGCTGCCGCGGTGTACAGCCGCACGCCAGCTTTCGAGTGGTTTGTTTGCACGCTGATTGGCGTCACCCGGCACCAAGGGGTTAATGAATGAATAATGAATGCATAACTGCTTGACATAGAGCACAGAAAAAGGAAGGTATTCAAAAATATTATTTATATGGAAAGATACAATCTTTTACATCAACCAGTTTTTTTCTGGTGTGATAGGTCACACCAGGATGATGGCTTAACATAATGTGGTGGTTGAGCCTGCTCTTAGTTATGAAGCATAAACAGCTGCACACTTTTTTGGCCCTGGCTACATTTTTTGAGAAGAAATTGCCCCTCAATGGTAGGCTTAGAGCCTCATTTTAGCCTCAATTACCTAAAAAATTGTTTATACTGAAGGCAAGAGCATACAAAGAAGGGAACTTCTAATTACTTCCATGCTTCTGATTTTTCCCTGATTCTGCAGGCAACCTGAAGTGATACAGCCTCACTCTCTCACCAGCAGGTACTTTTTGTGACTCACTGCCAAGACCTGACTGGCTGACATGGATATTTGATGGCTCTCTGATTAGACCACAGGCTCTTCTCGTTCCTTGTTGGCTTAAACAGCTTGTGCACCTAAGCTGCAGGATCCGAAACTGAGATCAGTAATTAACAAACTTCCAGCTACACTTCAGCAAGCGGCAGTACCGAAGGACTGCCTAGTCCTCTCCACCTCCCCAGTAGATCTCCATTACACCTATAACACCCTGCTATTCAGTGGGCACTTGCACCCACTCAACAATTCCATAAAGAGACCACTATAACCAAACAAGTAGATACATTCCATCTACTACAATCTGGCAATGGAGGCTACTGTCGTCATTAGTTTAATTTTTTCCCCGACAGATAACCAAGTCCCTTTAAATAACTAGGACTTCATTATAAAAATATAATGGGTTAACTGATTACTGACACAGAATGTGAAGGCCAGTACTGTCTGATTAGCTGATCTGAAGTTGTAGACTTTACTTTGCACAAAAGGGTTTCTATATCTGACTTGTGTTCTTTGAAGTTATTATATAACTTTTTTTTACACTATACACTATATAGTGTAACTAACACTACGAAAGTGAAAATATTGAGTACATTTACATACTGTATTTTTAAGAAGCCCCTATACTTCTTGCCATGACCTATAAATAATTCAAAGTTGCTCAAGATATTTACCCTGCGATCTCAAACACCAAACTGAATGTACAACTCATTACAGCAACATCTCTACTTATCAATGCCTGCTCTTTCATATTTATTTAGTTAATTCTTTAAAGGATATTATACTTTTATAACAGTCTTCAACAATTCATATAATCATATACAATAATGTTCTGTGCAGGCATGCAGAAGAAACTGATGTTTAGTATCCATCATAATAAAATATCTGAGGATATCTATAGCTCTGAGTGTTAATATAATTTTAACCCAATGGTGACGGGTGAAGAAGAAGAAAAAAAAAAAAAAAAACCCTCTATGCTCTGGCAAACAATAGCGGTGGGCCGACTTTGAGCGCGTGAGTTCTGTACATCAGCCCGAATCACTGGCTCGCCATGCTTTGGCGCGCCGCCGCGGTGTACAGCTGCACGCCAGCTTTCGAGCGGTTTGTTTTCACACCTATTGGCGTCAGGGTTAAGTAGATACCAAGAAAGTCAAGCAATTCCTGGAATGATTGAAATATTTTGTTTTTACAAAGGCGTTTATGTGGTTTTCAAAGAGCAAACTGTATGCAGAAACAAAGGAATCATTAAGTACATTATACTAAAAAAAAGATTGACTTTCTATTTGCTGCAACAAAAATTATATCATTCATCCTCTTAGGGTCTGCTATCTTGGGTTCCAGGATAGGTTGACAGGTTGGGAATAGAATTACGACATACTGTATAAGGAGGATAGGAGTCTAGGGGGCAGACACCCCTGCTCGGGCAATACATAATTAGAACATAATACCACTGGGATCTATTCATTCATTCATTTCATTTCAGCTTGTTTTACTCAACAATTTCCCTGTTATAATTCATAGCTTCCTTTACTTGGGACTATCAAGACTATTGGCTGTATTTGATAATGACCGATCAAAATTGCTATATTTCTAAAGCACCCATAGAATAATACCTTTTTACTTTTTACTGGGTACTTCTACACAAATTCATAACAGGCATATAAGGGTTAATGCCAGCAAAATGACTGCACCAGCCAGGGGGATATGGTGTTTGGAAGGGAGTCCATAGCAGAGCCCATTCCTAGGAAATACAGCCATAATAGTTTAAGAAGATACCCCGCCCCTCTGAGTCCCTTCTACTCCAGCCAACAACCTTGGGGACCTGAAGGCACAAATGTTGCCAGAAGGCATTTACCCTGTGTGTAGTTTTCCCCCTCTTTGTGAGTGTCTTTAGATTTTCCCTAACTTGGTGTGGTAATTACGTAAATAAATACCAATACAGTAATCAGTTGGGGATCCAAACTAGTTTGTGCTATTCAGATAAGTTTCATTCTAGTACTTGTTGCCATGAGTGACGCACTCTTGGGAGACAAAATTCCAAAACCAGGGTGTCATGCCAACCTAAAAATCTGAACCTAATATTACCAATCTTCTATTAGACAAGGGAAGCGACTCTCCCTTATTACTCTCCTTTATTGGAACTTCATGCTAACAGCCTCAACAATTTTGTTATAAAAAGAATTTATGACACATTCCTTCAGTGTAGTGGGTACAATGTGCTAGAGTGAATCAAGCAGAAAGTTCTGCTACATGTAATGGACTCTTGGGCTAAATGACAGGACAGTTGCCAGAAGTCACTGGAGTCAGTGATGCCAAGAGATATCTGCTACCGTCACTGTGGGGTTAAGAACTGGCTGTGTAAAGGTGTTGTCTGAGTAGTGAAATGCAATGGATATTTTAGACATATTGTGGTAAATATGAGGACGCAGCGGTTGTATCTGTGTTGTTTACGACTTAAATTCTTGTACTTTCAAGATGTCAGTGTCATTTTCCTCTATCTCTGTACGTCGCTCTTGGTAACATTAACTTCATACCTACATTGAGGACTTTGTTTTAAACCATATCAGAATCACCATAATATGAGCATGTCATATTAGCTACACAAACCATTTGCAAACCAATAAATGTTACTTTATGTATTCTTTAGTTTTGCTCTATCTCTATATGGTCCTTTGACGAAGAGCCAGAAAACCAGACCCTCTTTCTCAATGTTATGCAAACGTACAAACTACCGGTCAGACAAACATACCTATAAACTAAAACAACAGTGCACAGAATATACATATATATCACTAGCTCTCATCTCAGAAGTAACTAACCTTTAAAAAAAATCCACTAAATCCTGTTCTTGATCGAAATAACGTAGTTACAGAACAACATACGAAAAAAGAATAACATTTCCCCCGAACGCTACAAAAATAGACCTATACCAACATACCGTTATTTCCGTAAGAATTCCTTGTAGAGCTTCCACCTTTTCCTCCTTGTTCTCCTCTCCTTCTAAGATCCCTTTAATATACGGACTGAAAACTTCGTCATCTGTGTTTAGTGCAATTAGAGTGTCTTTTAACCAAGCATCGAAGTCGCATGGTAGAGCCTCCGCCATCGTTTGTTTATGTCTGGTCCGGCTCAGGGGCTACGGGGCTAAACGGTTTTAAGCTCTTTCCTTTATTATTGATATTTCTTTCGTTATTTGATATATCAATTGATGATTAATTGATGGTAATATTTCATAACTTATTATTATTTGATTATTTACTGGTGTGAAGCTAGGTATTCATAGTTCTCCGGAAAGTATTACTGTATTTTTTTTTCTTTTTTAATCGCTATTTCCTCCGTCATTACCGAGAATGTTATTTGATATATACATTTCAAAAATTATGCTAAAACATTGTTATCATAAATTTGAATTTTTAGCGTAAATAACTATCGTATTAATTCTGCTTCTTTCTAGTCTCACACACACACTCGCACACACACACACACACACACACACACACACACACACACACACACACACACACACACACACACACACACACACACACACACACACACACACACACACATATATATATATATATATATATATATATATATATATATATATATATATATACATATACATATATCTGTGTGTGTGTGTAAAAATAGTATATGTAACTTCCTCCCATAATACTCATTGGCAGCAGATTACAGATTCGTTTTATAAACATTTACTTTCAACGGTAATTTTCCAAGTTATATGTTTTAAATCTAATTCTGAGTTATCTAATCTACTTGATGCTTCGGGAACTTTTAAGCTTTTGCTTCTACCTTAAAGTAGAGTGACCGCTGTTAACCTAACCTCGACCCGCCTGGCACAGATATATTTATAGACTGTCATGTCATGAATCTGTCAATTGGCACTAGAACACAGCGTGACCCTTCTCTTTTCCCTTCGTTTAGTCACTGTTATTTTTGCACTGGCGTGTAGTTTCATAATGGGAATAATCAAACTGTGGGAGTTTTTTTTCGCTTTCTTAACAATAGATATTTCATATCAATCCAAGAGGAGGTTATTTACCTTATTCTTGTTATCAGAAACACGGCAAATATTTATATATGTATATATATATATATATATATATATATATATATATATATATATATATATATACATACATACATATATATATTCTACATGACAAATCTATCTATCTCTATCTATCTCTCGCTCTCTCTATCTATCTATATATATATTGTAGTTTGACATCGCTTTTTATGCCGACAGTTGAACTTTAAACGAAATATACATTCTACGCTTAGTTTGGTTCCTTGTCATCCTGGCTATACTGTTATCTGGGTCTAAAGTCTTTGATCAGCTAGGAGAAAAAATTCTCTCTGTATATCTTAAAATATTTTTAATGAATTAATATACACATGTATGTTGATCGGCAGGTACATACTCACATTTATATATATATATATATATATATATATATATATATATATATATATATATATATATATATATATATATACATAAACACACTCACTCACTCACACACACACACACACACACACACACACACACACACATATATATATATATATATATATATATATATATATATATATATATATATATGTATAGACGTAGCAAAATCCATACATAATTCGTATTCACAAATACACACAAACATACACACGCTTGCTTTTGTATGTGCGTTCAAGCATTTATAACGAGGCATGTGCGGTATACAAAGGAGTGTCTAACGTCTACTTAGTTTAAATAGTATGAACATGAAGAAACCATAATAGTTCAAGAGAGTTGTAGACACATAACATAAAACAACATTCTTTGCGTCCATACAGTTTAACCTAAATTTGTTTGACCATTGCAAGCGGGCAAGTGGGCGGTATTCACGAAAGGTCATAGATTCCTGGATTTGTCCATGCCTTTCCACGAAAATTTCTTTAACAACAAAACTGCGACCAATAAACAGAGATAGATATAGAAAGCGTGCGTGTTTTGCCATTCATGTAGGTATGAACACATGCATTTCACACACACACATAAACATGAACAAAAGAGATATTAAGTACAATCCAATGATAATTACATCGCAAACCAAAAAATAAAAAGAATGAAATGATGTATTGCGTTAATGCTGTAAAGTCATCAGAATGAAGGAGTAAAGGTATAGAAAACAAAAGATAAGCGTGTGTTAATAATGACCTTAACGGTAATAATCGTATCAACATTGGTAATGGTGATCATTAGTGATAATGGCAAGAGGGATAAAGATAAATACACTAATACTGATAATTGTGTCAACATTATTAACGGTGATATGAATAATAAGAAGTTTAACCTTTGTAATTGAAATATCTATTTTTATCTGTTACAAAATATAGAATCCTCTGATAGACCGGTATAGAATATTGATGATAATGATATTAAGTTGCAATCTAGCAACTATTGTGTTCATTTCTTTTTTACTTTTCATACCAAAATCTGTCTTCCTATCTCTCTAGCTATCTATCTCCCCATGTATCCATCTATCTACCGCACTATTTGTCTATCCATCTGTCTATCTATATCTCTCTATCTACTTACCTATTTATTTATCTTTCTTTATTACAAATCCACATATACCCCCCCACACACACACACACAAAAGATATGAAACCATGATAACTACATCCAAAATAAAGACAGACAAACGAATCAAAATCAATCTAAAAAATACAGCTTATCAATTTCAAATAGCGAAATAGTTATATCCAAGATGGCCTAATGAGTTAAACACCTGCCTTCGAGTACATTTATGGCCGTAAAATCGAACGTAAAACGAAAAGGACTGGGGAATCCCCCCGCCTCGAAGGAAGGTGATTAGCTCATTCGGCCATCTTGGATATTTATAATTAAACTCTCTGGGATTAATGAGCTGCAACATATGTCAGTTTATTGTTTTTTTTTATGATGTTATTGTCATTAGAATTTGCTTAGTTTTTTGTGTGTCAGTAACGTATGCCTTCATAAATACATACATAATATAGACAAAACGATGGATAGAGAGATGGAGAATGAGAGGGAAAATGAGAGAGAGATAGGGAAAGAGAGAGAGAGAGATAGTAAGATTATCTGTGTTCGTAGCCACATCCCAGGTTAACTTCAGAATAGGTATCTTGGATATTTAAGGAAACGCCTTTCGGAATTAATAAGTTGCAGTTTTTCAGATTTGCTCTTGGTTTGTTTGTCTTTATTTTGCGATATAGTTATCATTAAATTGTTTAATCTTATAGACAGAAATATAGATAGATATAGAGATGGATAGACAGAAATTTGGGTAGATAGACAGTGAAACAGAGATAGTGAGATAGACAGATAGATAGTGAGACAGACAGATAAACAATGAGATAAATAGCTAGTGAGACAGATATACGGTAAGATATATAGACAGATAGACAGATGGATATTAAGATAGGTAAACAGATAGATATATAAACAGATAGACAGTGGGCTAAATAGATAGATAGACAGTATGATAGACAGACAGTGAAATAGAGAGATAGACATATAGTGGGATAGACATAGACAGTGAGATAGATAAACAGATATGCATTGATATAGACAGATAGACATTTAGATACACAGATAGACAGTGAGATAGATATACTGTGAAATATACAAATAGGCAATGAGATCGATAGAGATACATGAATAGACAGATAGATAGATATACATGAATAGACAGATAGATAGATATACAGATGGATAGATATACAACTAGAGAGAGAGGAAGATAGATTTGATATGAATTTTTTTTTTTTAAATCTCAGTTTCTCACCTTTGTACCTATTCTGAAGTTAACCTGGGATGTGGCTAAGAACAGTCTTACTATCTCTCATTCTCTCTTTCCCTTTCTCTCTCTCATTCTCCATCTATCTGTCCATCGTTTTGTCTATGTTGTCTATATTATGTATGTATTTATGAAGGCATACGTTACTCTATCGTGAAAAATCGTTGCATGGGATAGACAGTGAGATGGATAGACAGTAAGATACATTGACAGATAGACAGTGAGATAAACAGATAGAGTGTGAGATTGATAGATTGACAGAGGGATAGATGGACAGATAAATAGTGAGATAGATAGACAGAGAGATAAACAGATTGGCAGTGAGATAGATATACAGTGAGAAAGATACATAGACAGACAGTGAGATAAATAGTGAGAAAGATATACAGATAGACATCGAGACAGATAGACAGTGAGATAGATAGACAGTAAGATGAATAGTGAGATAGACAGATAGACATTGAGATAGATAGGCGGATAGGCAGTGGGAGATAGACAGATAGACAGTGAGATAAATACAGACACTGAGACAGATAAGCAGTGAGATAGATATACAGTGAAATATACAGATAGGCAATGAGACCGAAAGAGATACATGGATAGACAGACAGATGAATAGGTATACAGATAGAGAGATAGGAAGATAGATTTGCTATGAAAAGTTAATAAAACGGTTTCTCACCTTTATACCTATTCTGAAGTTAACCTGGGATGTGGCTATAAACTCAGACAGACAGACTTGCAATAGATAGACTGTGAGATAGATAGATAGACAGTGAGATAGAGACAGATAGACATTGAGATAGATAGATAGATAGACAGTGAGATAGATAGACATAGACACTGAGACAGATAGACAGTGAGATACACATAGATACTGAGACAGATAGACAGTGAGATTGATAGATAGGCAGTGAGATAGACAGATAATTTTACAGTGAAACATACGGATAGACAGATATACAGATGGATAAATATGCAAATAGAGAGAGAGATAGATAAATTTGATATGAAAAGTTAAAAACCTTTATACCTATTCTGAAGTTAACCTGGGATATGGCTACAAACACAGACAGACAGACAGTCTTGCAATCTCTCACTCTCTCTTTCTGTCTTTCTGTCTTACACTTTCGCTCTCTCATTCTCCATCCATCTATCTATTTATCGTTTTGTTTACTATTTGTATGTATTTATGAAGGCATGCATTATTCACACACACAAGAGGAAAAAAAGCAAATTATAATGGCAATAACATCGTACAAACAATAAACTGACATACGTT